TTTAAAAATGCTGTCTCCTGTGGTCTCTTACCCTCTATGGTCTCCCACTTGCAACTTGCACCTGACTCCCCACTTGCACACCAGTGAGCATTTCTGCACCAGTACTGGTGGCTTGAGGATATTCTCCTGTCTCTGTGTCTCATTTCCTCCTTCCCAGGAGAACGGCCGGGCACAAGCAGGAGCAAGCATGGAGTCAGAACCCCAGTTGATTTGGTTATCAGGGCTTGGAAGCCAGAAACCAAAGCCGTGGTGGTTTGCACTCAGGAAGAGAAGCTACAGGTGCAGACTGTAGGTAGGTGCAGGCTTGCAGTCCAGCCACGGACATGCATCCTGGTCCTAGGCCCATTCTCACAAGGGAATGAAAGTTAATTTTAATGGTAATTGTAGGGCAGGTGAGAATCGCACAAAATCCATAAAGTGAAGCTCTTGGCCTTTAGGGGGTGATTAGGTTCAGATGAGGCCATGAGGGAGCTGTCAAGATGGGTCTTTGTAAGAGGAGGAAGAGACCAGAGCTCTTTCTGCCCCCACCTCTTCAAACCCAGCAGAGAGCCCTCAGCAACAACCAAACTGGCCAGCACCTTGGCCTTGAACTTTCTGGTCTGCAAAACTGTGAGCAGCAACTGTGTTTCCAAAGCCACCTGTCTGTGTTCTTCATGATGGCAGCCAGTGTCAAGATAGGGATCCAGGGCCTCTCTCTCTCCAGTGGAGATAAACTGTGCCTTTTCTATCCATTCTACTCCTTTCCTTTCTCCATCTTCAGAAGAGAACAAAATGAGAAAAGAACACTATTAATGATTCACCACAAGTCTGGATTTCTGGTAAACCCTGATATGTCAACTCCACCTGATTAAAAAAAAAACACCTAGCAGACTTGTCACACGCGCTCCTGGATGGGTCACGGAGGAGCGGTCCTGGGTGCTGTATACACAGTTCCTGGTCCCTCAGTGGTTCCTCTCTGGCGCTGTTCCCCTGCTCTGCCTTTCAGCTGCCAGGAACTAAGCACCCTTGCCCTACCACGTCCTTCTGCCATCATGTTCCAGCCTTGGAGTCAGCTGACCATGGATCAAAACTACAAGCAAACTGAACCACTTTCTTTTAGCTGTGGGTGTTGGGTGTTGCGTCTCAGTGATGAGAGAAGCCGATACCCAGGGCGAGTTGTTTCCCGAACTTCCCCCAGGTGATGTAGAGACAGCTCTGCTAAAGCACTCCTCTGTGGGGCCTCTGCCCGGTCACACCCGTGGTGGCCTGAACACAGCCCCCAGACACCAGCCTTGTACCAGGGATGAGAGGCCAGAATGGTGGCAGTGAGAGGAGGACACAGTGGGTCTGTGGATTTGCTCCGAAACCCCATAGTGTAAAGGCCAGGCCAGCCTGACACTCCCCTAGTCTCTCATTTTCCTTCGAGACAGAATTGTATCCAATCCTTTCTCTTGCTCTTTCCACCTTCTCCCCTCTAGCAAAAGAGTCCCTGGAGTGGGCTTCTTGATTGCGGGTGGCACTGAGCAGCATGGGCGACAGGGCACAGGGGCTAAGGGAGTGAGGGCAAGAGTGGAAGTCCAAACCTCTGCCTTCCAGTGTCACTGCCTGCCACCTATCAGGTCCCTGCTGGTCCCTGCCGCCAACCCCATGCTGGTGAGGATGCAGCCTGATCCTGTAATTGAACACTCTGTCCTAGCTACTGTTCAATCCCAGATTGAAAACAGAAAAAACACGCAGTAGCCACATTGAAAGGCTGGCTCTGGCCCGCCTACCCTTTGCTTTTGTGGGTGAAATGGGAGCAGAGGCTGGTTTCATGCCAGAGGATGGAGGGGTCAGGAGGATCAGGGCCTTCTGTGATAGTAAGCAGCCCCAGCTCTCTGCCCTGGGCTGACTTCTTGTTCCTTGACTGGGATGACGAAGTCTGCGGTAACCCCTTCTCAGTGACTTGTGTGGTCCTATTTGGGGGTGTGTGGATGTCTTCCTGTAACGTTTTATGCTCATATCCACTCGGAAAGGGAGGGGGAGACAGAGCAGACCAGCTTGGTCTGCCTTCTTTTCTGAAATGAGGCGTGTTCCTTGCCTCTGACTCTCTTCCCTGCCCCTGAGCTTACAGAGTCAATTAGAAAAGAGAGTCTTCCGGGAGGTGCCAACCCTGGACATGGAGAGGAACCAGATCTCAGTAAGAGAGAGGACCCAGGCCCTATCCCCAGAGTGTTCCTCCAGAGCTGAATGCATGGTTCACACAGGAAGGGGCAGGATTGCAACAGGGAAGCCACACAGAGGCCGGAAAAGCTGTTCGGCCCCTCCTGATGGGGCGCCCACTGTGACTCCACCTTTTGCTACCTTCTAGTGACACTGCTGGTGGCAGAAATGAGGTCATGGGTGCCTGCAAGTGACTCTCCCAGGAAAAAGTCCCTCTAGAAATGGCAGCCTCCCTGTGCAGTCGCCTCCTGGACTGGCAAAACGCTAAGAAGCAAAATCCCCTCCTGTGTGTGAAGATTGAGGCCCAGAGAGCCTGAATTCTCCTCTCTATCCCAGATGGCTGGAGACAGAGCTGCACATGGGTGTGCAAGGGGCCTGCTCTTAGGAAAGGAACAAATGCTGTCTGGGTCCCAGGCATATCCAGCTAAGACTCTTGGCTGCTGCAAGTCAGGGAACCGGACAGGAGCAGGGAGGAATCCACCGTGGTTTCAGACATCTGTGTTCACAGGAACTCCCTGCCTCTGAGCAAAGATACCCCTCCCCCTCCCCCTCCCTCTCCCTCTCTCTGCCGATCCTTTGCTGAGGAGAGAAGCCTGGCGAATCTGGCTCTCAGGCCCCCTCTGTGAGCAAGCTGAGAAACAGCACCCTGAAGACCAACTGTTCTGACAGGCTGGGAAGGAAGGGCCTGCACTCTCAGCTGGGGGTTCCGAGGATGGGGGGGGGCGGTGCGAGGCCACATCTGGGCATCACTAAGCATTGGGAGTGGTTTGGCCACCTAGGGGAGGAGCGCTGATTACATCCGGCCACCCATGCCCCTCCATTTACGAATCAGCCAGCCAGAGGGGCTTCAGCCAGCCAGAGGGGCTTCAGCCTGCCATGGAGCTCAGCTGCAGGCAGAAAAGTCACAAAATACTGTTTGAATTAGGTCGCTGAATGGGCTGAGGGAAGGAAGGCTGGCTTTTCATCCATTGTCAGAATGCCCGCGGCTCTTTTCTCTGGAATATTTCTGGTGGCTATGTCTATTCGGCAGCAATGGAAGGGGTTCCTTGGGGTGGCAGTGGGGGGCCGGCAGAGTTCAGAAAGTCAATAAGGGACAGCCTCAAACTTCAAGGGCCAGAAAGAGGAGGCAGCAGGGGTCAGAGGAAGACTATGCAGGACCACCAGGAGGTGAGAAGAGAGAAATCGGGGGAAAATGAACTTTTAAATGGAAGGAAACGTTTTAATATGTAATAATGCCTGTCTTTGTGCCAACACTGTCCCAAAACCTAATTTTTACTATTGTCAGTGGCGGGGGGCGGTTACAGGCACCTAGACCAGCCCGGGGAAGTTTAAGTGGGTTCAGCCCGTGGGCCCTCAGCTCCTAACCTGGGGAGTAGTTCTGCTTACTCCCCTTTGTCCCCGGAAGACACCTCTGAGCTCTGGCCTTTCCTTTTTGTTTTGTCTCCCTGCTCCTGTCTCCCTCAGAAGAAAGAATAAACAAGGGGTGCATGGGCCACCGCATAGCCCTCTGTAAGTCTCCAGCCTTCCTTTTGCCCTGAGCTTTTCCAGACTTTGGAGAGTCTGACCTGGGAAAGGGAAACTCTTCCCAAACCCTCTTCCCTCCACCCCTGGCACTAGAGTCCGGGAGAGTGTTGGGGTTCCAGGCTTCCCTGGGGGCCTTGTGAGAGGGGTGCTTGTTGGAGGGTGGAAGGCAAGGGCGGCAAGAAAGCTGAAGGCTCCTTGGGCCTCCAACCCCCACCCCACCCCCAGAGCGCGCGCGCGCGCACACACACACACACACACACACACAAACACACGGGCTCACACACGGGCACACACACGAGCTACGCGGCTGGCTCTGCTGCCCTCCGGCGGGTCCCGGCGACTCCGGGCGCCCGAGGCCGCGCACACGGATTCTCGGGCTGCGGGGCTCGCTCCCGGGCCTGGCTCGGGGCCGCCGCCGCCGCCGCCCCCCCCGCTCGCGGCGCGCGGGCTGCTCTCGAGTCACGGCCGCGGGGTAGCGCTCGGCCCCCCTCTCCGCGTCTCCGCCTCCGCCGCGCTCGTCCCCGGCTCGCGCTGCCCCCGCAGCTCCGGCTCCGCGCAGGCAGGAGCGGCTCTCAGGACGCCGAGCCGCGAAAGCAAGCGGAGGGCGGCGAGCTCGCGAGCGGCGGCAGCGACCGAGGTGGGCTGCGGCGGCGCGGCCCAGGCGCTGGGGGGCGGCCGCCGCTGCTCCAGCCCACGCAGTGGGCGAGTGCCGGCGTCCTAGGGGACACCGAGTCCCCAGAGCCGGGACTGCTGGCGGGGCTCTCCGTGCGTCTGGCCGAGAGCTCCGACCAGCGCGCAGCGGAGGGCAGAGCCGCGGGTCTCCATCCTCTCGCCGGCAGGAGGCTCCGCGCCCGAGCGTCGGCTCCAGCCCGGGTCGCCGAGCTCAGCAACCGCCCTCGCCGCCACGCAGCAGGCGCGGACATGGGCGCGCAGGGGTGCGCGTCGGGCCGCGGGACCCGCAAAGTTTGCTAGCCGGCCGGGCGGGAAGGGGTTTGAGACCCGAGTCTCTGAATTCGGCCTGAGGGCAGTGGAGCCCAGAGGGGAGGCTCGGCCCCGCCAGATGCCGCCCGCAAAGTTGAAAAGAAGAAAACTTCAGCTCCAGGGAGATTCGGACCTAATGCTAACCGCGCCCCCCAAACCCTGCAACCCTGAAAGAAGCCCTGCACCCTCGCCTACCTTCGTGCTCGGCTCGGAACGGGCCCCGGAGCCCGGGCGCCGGGAACCGCGGTGACTGCGTCGGCCAGGAGAACCCAACCAGGGGGCGGGGAGGGGCGGGGAGGGGCGGGGGGCGGGCAACGTGGCCACGGGAGGAAGTTTCTTGAAGTTGTCCGCTCATTCCGGAGCTCGGCCAGCGACCCGGCCGGATCGCAGAGGCCTCCTTGCCTGGGAGAAGTAGAAGTTAGGGTGCTAGGGGAGAAGGCGCCCCGAGCCCGAGAGGCAGACTTTGCCATTTTTTCTTTGCTTTTCTCTCGCCTTCTGGGCGCGCCGCCGGGATCGGACTTGGGCAGCAGAGGAGGAGGAAAGATCGGGGTCGCCAGCGCCGCTCCTCCGGGCATAGCAAGCCCAAGCCCAGGACCCAGAGCCGCCTAGACTGTGTGCCGGGACGAAGCTCCGGGCGGGGTACTGGACCCCACTAGGATTATACAGCAGCGCGGAGCGGGAGAGGACCCCGGAGGACACCCCCTCCGGACTGGACACCATGTGGAGGCTGCTGGTCTGTACTCTGCTGGCTCTCCATCGGATTCGCGTGGCCGGAGCCCAAGGTAGGGTACGGGGACCATCCCCACGAGGGGCGGAGAGGGGTGGCCGCCGGGACGCCGAAGCAGCCTTGGCAGAGTCCTCTCCTGGGAGTTTCAAGATTCTCCCCTCCCTGAGTTTCGGGGGCCCTTTTGCGGGCAGGGCAGCCTCTCTGAGACTTGTGGCTTCCGACTGGGGAAGATAGGGTCGCTGGGGAGGCTGGGAAGTGCTGGAGGTGAGGTGGGAGGGGCGCGCCACCGCCCCCATCTCGCTGGAGGTGCCATGGGGCCGGCGTGGGAGGGGCGCGCCATTCAGTGCCCAGCTCCACTTCCGGCTCTCCTGGGTTCCGCGAGCCCGGCTCTAGGTTCCCCTTGGGCAAGGCCTTGTCGGGGAGGCGCGGGGCGAGAGGAATGGAGCGCGCGCCGGCGCGATGAAGGCGCCGACTGGGTCGCCCTGCTTAGCCACGTACCGGAGCCCGCGCCCAGCTGCCTGACCAAGAGTGCTTCCCTGCGTGGGCCTGGAGCCAGACAGCGGGTGCAGCCTCGGACCCTGGAGGGGAGGGGAGTGGTGCCCTGGGAGGGTCTGAGGCATCCCTCCAGCCCACCCCAGACACACCCCGCATCCCGCCCCTGCCTTCAGCCTGTGACCTGTGGCTGCTTGGAGCAGCCTGGCAGCGGAGGGCTGGGTTTGGGGTGGGAGAGTTGGAAAGGAGGAGGAGGGGTGATCGCACCATCCCCCTCCAGAGAGTGGAGGTCCAGACGTCTCCCCAGACCTCTGGAGGGTCCAGCGGGGCAGGGCGGCTGTACCCGCGCTTCCTCGCCTTTGGGGTTCTCAGATCCACTTCGAGATGCCCGTGGTGTCTGAGCGGCGCCTGCTGGGGGCGAGGGAGGCGAAGTCTGGGTTGAAGCTCCACACTCTGGAGCTCAGCCTTCCCTCTTCCAGGCTCAGAAGGGGCCTGGCCCACTTGGGGGCGCCGGACTGCGGGGGCTACAACCCCGAAAAGGTCCCACTTCTCCTCTGGGGTCTCAAAGCCTGCGGGAGAAAAGGGCTCCAGTACACCCAGAGTCAGGCAATTCCAAGAGCCAAGATCAGAGATTAAATTGATCAACTCTTGAGTTGAGGGAAGGATTTTACGAGGTAATTTAGGTAAAAGCACTTCGAAATTTTGTAACGAGCTCCATAAATGTAAGGTAATAAAAGTTATTATTTTTATGATCATCATAAAATCTTCCAGCAGGCGAGGACCTCAGAGGTCATCTTATTCCAATAGCTATTTAACAGATGGGGAAACTGAGGCCCCATGGCATTAAGTGACTTGCCCAAGGCCACTCAGTGATCTGGGGTCAGAGTCAGGAGCAGGGCTGGATGAGTTCTGACCCACTGTCCTAGGCAACAGGGCCAGTTGAGGTCTCCTTGTCTGGGTCTCCATCCTAGGCACCTTGTGGTTTTATTCTGAGACTCTCATGATGTTACTACCCAAAAGCCCGGAGACAGGCAGGACAGTGAGACTTGTCAGCCTATCTGGATCCTTCTAGCTTCACGACTATACAAACTCCACCAAAGACCTGGCTTACCTGGCCCTGAAGGACTCCCCAGGGCAACTGGTGGTTCTTCTTTCAGAGTCTTAATGTCCTTTTCTCCACACCTTCCTCATCCATCTGAGGCCAAGATCCCACCTGTCTTGCTGAAGTTAAGGCCAGGCTGCCTACTGACCCTGCCCTTCTTGCTCAGGAGGGGCCTCGCCTGCCAGGAGCAGGGAAGGCTGCTGATTGATTGACTCTCCTTGGCTTCTCCTGTTTGCTGCCTTTTTGAGTGTCAGGCTGCCCAGGGCCCCTGCTGCTCGTTTGTGCTCTCTGGCTCTGAGAATGTTTGTCTGCCAGCATTGGCTGCCTCCTTCCATTTGTCTTCCAGGAGGCAAACCCTGCGCAGGATTGTGGGAATGTGGTCTCTTGGCCCAGGCTTGGGGACAAGGCTGGATTTATATGGAGGGCTGGGCTTAGGGCACAAGGGGTATCTGCTTTGGGTTTAGAAAGTGAGTTTCTTCCAGTCCGAGGCCATCCTCACCTGGTTATCCTGAAAGATATAATTGAACCATTTAAATTCCCCACGATGTGATGTCACATGGTTCAGATTCATTTTCCCAATGAAGTTCAGTGACATTGTCGAAAGAGCTTTGGCTTTGGCAGCAGAAAGAACCGGCTGTTGTGATCTGGCTTTGTGGCCTAACTGCAGAGAGGTTTTAGCAAGGCTCTCAGCTGCTCAGAGCCTTGGGTTCCTCATCCACACATCCCTCATCCATATCCAGAGATTAGGAATAGTAGTGGCCCTGTTACAGAGTTCACATGAGGATGGAGACATTCTAGGGGGAGGTTCCAGCCAGTGCTCCCCACATAGGAGTTGCTTCCTACCATTAGCATTGTCATTATAATTGGTCTGACACTAAGCCAGGGACCCAGAAGGGTGCCTTACCACCCACCAATAAGTACTTAAATTCCAGGAGCTTTCTTCACTTCCTTCCATGACGACCTCAGTGTGTCTTGGAGTGGCCCTTAACCTCTGAGCTCCCAGGGAGCAGATTCTAGTGCCTCCAGGCAGTAAGACTGGAAAGGTCTGCTGACCTTACTGTCTACATTTCACCAAGTGCACCTCGCCTGTAAGCCTGATTGCTGCAGGAGGTCATCCTGGCATGCCCTAGAGGCTGGGAGGAGGGCAGTGGCCACTAGGGCAGGGGCCAGCTGGTCCAGAAGATTCTTTCTAGAGAACCTTGCATGAGGGAAAGAACAAGGAGGCATGGGGCTAAGCGAACCAGGAGGAAACCCTGACAAAAGCCCGAAGGCTTCAGTTCCAGAGATTCCTGGAGGGCTCCAGAGGGAGAAAGCCTAGTTCAGGGAGCCAACCACAATAAAAGCCAGACAGCATGTGAGGGAGCGGGATGAAAGTTTAATTACATGGTATGGCTAAGCTGTAATTATTAATTACTGACAGCAAAAAATAACTTATTGATCAGGGCCTTTTGCTAATTACCAGGAGGCCGAATGTCGTGCTTGCCTGGGGCTCAGCTGTCAAAAGCCCCACATAAGAGTGGGATGGGAGGTGTCCCTGCTCCTCCATTCCCTTCCCCCATGTCCCTGTCTCGCTCACCCTGTGCACCTCTAGGCCTCAGCTGGGGTGTCTGAAATGTGCTTTGTGTGTTCAGATGAGTAATACCATTGGGAGGTTCCACTGGGTACAGAAGCTCCCCCTGCCTGGGCTGAAAAGTTGGGACACCACCCAGGATCATCAGACGTCCTGCCCCTGGCTGAGAAACCCTCCTTTTCATGCATTTGTTCAGCAAATATTTATCGACCAGCTCTCCCCTATGTCCTCTACTAAAGCCAAAGTAGGGGCCAGGAACCTTGTTCCATCAGGATAGGGAGGCTGGGAAAGAAGCCAAATCCTTTACAGCAGACCTCTGTTTAAACAGTGCCTGAATGGCCGCCCATAGGATGATGTGTTAAACTGCATATTGGTAAGCGTTTGACCTTGGACACTCTTAGACACAGTTGGGCCGTAAGCTAAAGGTAAGGGAGAATGGGCTTGTTCTCTGTCATAAAGAGTAGTGAAATCATTGTATTAGACTTAAAAGACATAAGAAAAGTCATCCAGAGCATCCTCTGCCCACAAACCAGGACAAGAGGCCATCTGGTCTGCTTGCATACCTTTGGTGATGGAGGGATCACTACCACATGCAAGTGGCTGTTAGATAGTTATGCTTTATGTTGGCCTAAGTAATAGTCTCCTTGGGACTGGTTATCCTGGGATTTGGTTGAAAAGGTCCTTTGATTGGCTGAAAACTCCTTCCCCATCTCTCCCAACTCCCAGGCCCTCGGGGAGTTAGAAGACCTGAGTTGGAATGGAAGCTGGGTGTCGGTGTGCTGCCTGTGGGATTTCCACCCCAGGGAGCATGTTGCTGCAGACAGCCTGGAGCTGCCTACAGTGGTGGGAATTAGTCATCGTAATCTGGGGCCTCCGGATGCCAATAGCAACAAATAGGCCCCTTCGCCTGCCTGCCAGGAGCGGCCCACTGCCCATAATGGAAAGGAAAACAAGGCACTTGCTGAGACATCCTGGGTTCCTTCCCACCGTCCCAGCCCCTGCTGTCCACAGTCGGTGAAGGCAGGGCCTGGGAACCTTGCTGGATGAGGGACTGTCTTCGGCTGCTCTGGGCTCTGGGGACAGGGAAAGAGGGAAGGGGCTGAGCCCGTCCATCAGACTTCCTGGTGGGGAGTGTGGGCCAGCACAACCCCAGCTGAGCCTGGAGCCCTGGCCAGGGGTTCTTTCTGAGGTGGGCGGTCCCAAGAGGACAGTAGCTCCTAGCCTGGATTCTGCCGGTTAGTCCTGCCTCCACCACTGTATGATGCTGCACTGAGCCTCAGTTTCCTCATCTGTAAATTGAGGAAATAGCATTTAAAATCCTCACATTTACCACCTAGAGTTGTTTGGGTAATTAAGTGCAATTACTCAAATCACTTTTTAAATGCTCTAATTAATGTTAAGTGCTTACAGTGTGCTGGTCACACAATGTGAGGAGGGGTCGGATCTGCCCTCCTTCTCCCTACACAGAAGCCTCCTCTGCCATCCCACTGTGTGCGTCCCCTTCCACCGCTGTCCCCACACTGACCACCTTACCCTTCTGGACACTCCGACCTCTAACCTGGCCTTGAGTTCCTTCTGCTTCTGTGGCGGTGTCTGCTCCTCGTAGGTGTCTGCAAAACCCACTCCTTGCTGCCCTAAGCCGCCATACTGTGGCACCTCTGAGCACTTCCCCTTTCCTTGCTGTACCTTCTCTGTGGTACCCCACTGTGTACTGACATGCTTTAGGGTGCTCGCCTTTGAGATGGCAGGGCCTTTTGTCCCCACTGCTGTGTGCCTAGCCTCTAGGTTAACAACCTCCGTGAATAGGAACAAGTGAATGAAGTGCGTGAATGAATGAACATTTCCTGGATGCATACAGCCCCTTGTCACCTGGACCCTGCTGGCTTCCCCA